TTTAAATTCTGTGTAGATATATATTGGAAGAATGAGCACCGTCTGTCCTGCACCTCTGAGATCTGCACTTCTCTCTCTCTCTCGCATTTTAATTTCTTATAACAAATGGCTGCAAATGCAAATGTCAGAGTGAAGTTACAGTACAGTAAACAACCATCACCAGTAGTAGTAGAAATGGCTCTCTTCCTCTAACCCCAAAAAGTACAACTCAAATGGGAGTTACTAGAAAGCCATAGCAGTGAAAAAGAAAAAAAGAGAAAAAAAACAGACAAGAAATTCAGCAAACGAAAAACAGAGACTTAAAATTCGAAAAAGGAAACTAGGATGAAGCCTTGGGTTGGACAGGGTCTGCTCCAACGTCCTTGAGAGTCACGACACGCTCTCGCGGGTTGGAGGGTTTGTAAGCAAAAGCATCTCTACGGGTAGGATCTTTAACGGCATGATTGTAGCCGTCATACTCCTCAACATGAGCCACCTTCCTAAAAAACGAGTTCGTCATGAACTTCTCGGCCTCCTCCACCACATGCTCCGGCTCCACCACCTCCGGCAGCGTCTCGCGTCGCTGCTTCTTCACGTAGACATGGGGGTTGTGCTTCAGCTGATGCATCGCGGTGTGGAGCCCCAACCCCAGTGACACTGTTATCATCCCAAGAACTACATAGACAGGCACGAAGTCTCCCCTGAAGAACCTTTTGTAGCCCTGCTGGTTTTGTGCAGTGACACCAGCACTAGGGGTGTAGGCTTTCGTCTTGGGTGTGGTTGAGGTTGCATATTGTCTTAACCCATTCGCCATTTGTTCCCAATGGTTCTGCACAATTTTCCGTACATGGTAAGTAAAAGAAAAACCCAGAAATGTACAGGAAGAATTTTAAAAAAAATTACATGAGAAATTTAAAAGGAAATGAGCTCACATACCCTTGATCTAAAAGCCATGATCTTACGACGGAGAAATATAGAAATCAGACAATAGATGCTTCCACAGTAAGAGTCGCAAGTCTCAGTTAAACACAAACTTGATGAAAATGAAAGCGATTCTTAACTTGGAAGTAACTGCTTCTGGATCTTACTTAAAAGATGAATATTGAAAAGCATAGAGAGTTCTCGTAATCAAGAAAAAAGAGTAGAGTGTTCTGGAGCCACGTATCACAGTGCAGAACCCAATGGGACACGTGTTCAAGAACCAACAGCGCACAGTGCCAGTAGAACTCTCCTGAAGTAGCACGTCAGCACCATTCTTATCCTACACTAGAAACAAAAACTTAATAAAATACTTATTACTTCAAAGTAGCAAACATCAAAGCCACATACCCAATTTCAACTTCTCTCCTCCGTAAGATTTGTAGAAGTATGATAACAAAAATAAAAATCAAAACTTGCTTAGCATGCTTCGAATTGATGCTTCCAAAGTCCATCCAAAACCCAATATATTGCTTCTGATTGAGGATGCAAGCTATCCCCTGCAATAAACTTGTGGATGCTTCCATTCAAGTTAATTAAACTACAACCACTGATCTTCTTCACCCTCTTAGCATCTTTTATGGATTTTCTAATCTTCACCACATCATCCCATTTCTCTGCATTTGCATAAACGTTGGCCATGATTGAATAAACTCCACCATCTTCAGGGTCCAACTCCATTACATGTTCTGCTGCTTTCTTTGCCATCTCAACATCACCATGTATCCTACACCCTCCTAGCAACCCACCCCACACAAAAACATCACCACCCATTGGCATCTTGTCTATCATCTCCATTGCTTCTTTGATCAAACCTGCTCTCCCAAGCAGATCAGCCATGCATCCATAATGCTTGAGCTCTCGAGGGACCCCATAAACTGTTTCCATGTCGTCGAAAAGCTTCTGGGCTTGATGTACAAAACCCACATGGCTACACCCCACTAAAACCCCTAAGACGCTCACCCCATCTGGTTTAACTCCGGCCTCTATCATTCTGCAGAAGTAATTCAGTGACAGCTTGCCGTGGCCATGCATTGCAAGCCCAACAAGCATGGCGTTCCATGTGAACACATTCTTATCTGGGCTTGCCTCGAAGATCTCCAAGGCAGTCTTAATGCACCCACACTTGGCATACAAGTCCACTAACGCTGTTAAGAAGTAGGAACTGAGTCGAACCCTGTTCCGTTTGATGTAATCGTGAATGTTTTTCCCTCGTTCCAAATCTCCCAGCTGCGCACAAGCAGAAAGAGCAGAAACCAAGCAGATATCATCAGGGATAACTCGCAAACCAAGCATCTGATCAAACAGTTGAATCGCTTCTTCGCACTGATTCATTTGAGCATACCCAACTAAAACGGTACCCCACGAGACGGAGTCCCGCACAGGCATTTTGTCAAACAGTTGACGCGCTCTAGAAACCTCACCGGCCTTAACAAAGGCGTCGAGCATGGCGTTGTAGGAGACCACATCCCGGTAAGAACTTTCATCAAACACCTTACACGCATGGTTCAGGGGATGACAAATCGAGTAGACATGAATGAGGGTGTTAGAAACAAACAAATGGGAAGCGAAACCGAACTTGAGGGCCTGCGAGTGAAGGGCCTGAGAGATGAAAAACGAAGAAAACCCAAGTTGGGCACAGGCCTTGAGAGCAAAAGGGAAGGTGTGGAAGTCCGGGGGGAGAGAAAACCGGCGCATACGGACAAAGAAGCCGAGAGCAGAGAGAGGGGAAGAAAGAAGGGTGTGGGCTCTAATAATGTTATTGAAACAAAAGGTTGATGGGTTTGTAATGAGGTTGAAGAGAGAGACGGCATAGCAGAGTGAAGTGGTTGAAGAGGAAGAAGGGATCAGAGAGATGAAGGCGTGGAGGATGCTGGCGGTGATAATATCACGACAAGTCGTTTTGGTGAGAGTGGGATCGGTGATGGTGAGAGCATGGAGTTGGAAGAGTTGGTTTGGGGTCTTGCAGCGTTTGATTACGGCGATGATGTTGTTCGCATTGGTGGCTTTCATTTGATCAAGAAAAGAGAGAGCCCTGTGATTTTAATTTGATCATTTAGGTGGAGGAGGTTTGGAGGGAGAATTTGAACTAACTTGGGGCCTTTGCATTGTGTGATTAAGGTCGTGATTTTGTTCGCATTGGTGGATTTCATTCACTTTGATTTGCTCTGGTTCTCATTGTGCCCAACTCTCAGTGGTTGATGAAGAAAAAAGAAAGAAAAGATTGGCGGTAAAATTGGCCGGAGATATAAAAATAAACGTGTAATTACGTAAATTAATTGGATCACAAAAACGTGGACGGCAGGATTCGAACCTGCGCGGGCAAAGCCCACATGATTTCTAGTCATGCCCGATAACCACTCCGGCACGTCCACCTTGCTTGTGACTTAGATAGAGACAAAAGATGATATAGGAAACAATTCACTATACAATATACAATATACTTATGTTGTAAACAGAGCTCACACTCTTGGGCTTCGTCGTCCAATCTGGCTCAAAACAAATAATATTAAAAATATGGTCAAATAATTTTCTTTTGAATTTATTTAAGAGGGAGAGGAAACTGAAGAAAGAAAACAAAAAAAAATTTAAGAAATAGGATTGCTCCGTGATGTTTTGTAGTATGGTCAAGTGGTATAATATGAATGTATATTTCAATGCTATATAATAATTTTTCATATTAGTTTATGTTTTGACTTTCTTTTTTTCTTTTTCTTTTTTTGTTAGACTTACAATAATCTCATTCTCGATAATAAGACAGACATAAGAGTACGACCCGACTTCAAGTTGAAGAAAACACTCATTTGTTAGTTTCGCATGAATTTCTATTATGCTATGTGAACGTTCTATTTACATACAAGGCAAGGCTTACACAATCCTGCCAACATATATATATATATATATATATATCTTGACATAGTTGTAATGCCCTCAATTATTGCATAGAGCACAAATGTAGAGGGCAGCACTTACAAATCTATGAAGGATCTAGTGGCTAAAAAGTAAATCCGAAGTCTAGTTGTTCCCTGTTGCTTATCGGTCATCTAGTGGCTAAAAAGTAAATCCGAAGTCTAGTTGTTCCCTATTGCTTATCGGTAGGTCTTGCTTATCTATAAGAGGTTTATTGTTTAGTAAGTGACATGGAGTCTTTTTTCCAACATTTGGGTCTCCCACTAAGTGGATTAGTGGCTTTGGACACATAGATTCTCACAAGCATTAGTATGGAGGCAAGAAAATGGACGGTGCAAATCTACTTCCAAATTCTCCTCTATTTTTGCTGCTAGTTTATTACAGCTTTAACTACTTTTTTCCATTAGTTTATCATTCAAATCTCTTCCTTCGAGAAGGATTCCTCCACATGTTATCTCATATTTCCACTCAAAAGTTATGTTACGGTGAGTCGTATACGCGTATGTGAGTGATTTCTGACTGTGGATCACTGTGATATTCACATTTAATCAATAATCAAAAACCACGTATTTGCGCGTGAATGACTGATATTAGCAAAATACTTCCACCCATTGGTCTTAATATTCATTTTCCTCAGCATTTCTCGGCATGGAATGAGTCTCTCTCTCTCTCCCGAGTCTTGAATGTTGAAAGACTAATGTTCTGATTGATGTAAAGCAGATGAAGAATGATAATATTCTTAGCAAAAGATAAGCACTTACCCAATAAGAGAATAATGCTTAGGGGGACCATTAGAAAATGTACATTCCACATGTGATTCTT